TTTTTAAATAAAAAAATTTATATTTTCCTTTTATAAATACTTTAAATATTCAAAATAATTTATGCAAAGTTTCATTGTAATTCAGTTTGATTAATTACAAAGATGCAGAATAAATAAATATTTTGTTTATTTATTCGACAACTCGTTCATACATCGCAATGTAACTCTACATAAATAATCTTGAATATATAATGTACTTATATACACACACAAACACACACACACACACACACACACACACACACACACACGCACACACACACACACGCACGCACACACACACGCACGCACACACACACACACGCACGCACACACACACACACGCACGCACACACACACGCACGCACACACACATATATATATTTAAAAAATGGAGATTTTTATCATTTATTTTATAATACATTTCTATATATTTTTATTAGAGCACAAATTAAAACCTAGTACTATTTATTGAAATAACTTATGATCCAGATAGTAAATTGTTACCAAATTTGTCGTTATTTTTAAACATGATTTAAAACAATCGGTAATTTTTTCATAATTTTGCTATCATTTTGAAAATATGTATGAAACATCATTAAATTGTTGAATTTAAAAATTAAATTTAAATTATACCCAATTATTTTTAATCATTTCTATAAATCGCCACTGTTCATTTAATATATGTATCGTTAATTTAATTAAAATAAAAACGTTAAATTTAAGAGATGCATTAAATTTGATCAAAATTTAGTTTATTATTTATTAAGTTCGTATGTTAATATAGATTATGTACTTTAAAGATAATTCAGCCGCAAAAATAAATTGATTTACATTTTGATTGGAGTTAAATAAAATATGTTATTTAATTCAAGACATATAAAATAACATTGTGGTAACATATAAATATGTAAATCTATTTTTGTATATAATGTAGTGTATTATTTTTACATGGAAAACTGAATCACACATATATGAAGCTACTTTATTAACCTAATATTTCATTTGTCGTGTGACAAATTTTTCAAACGTGATTAGCTATAAGATAGAGAAAGTTTCCAAACTCGAGAATTTCTTTATCGTACGACAAATTTTTCAAGTATGTTAATTAGCTGCGAGACAGAGAAGTTTTCAGGTCTCTCTAGCTCATAGTTAATTAACAGGCTTAAAAAATTTGTCGTGCAATGAATGTAATAGCCTTACTTACACTCTTGAATTTGCAGGACGTACGTAACAATAACCGTTACGAAATCTATGAAACGCTTCCATTCATAATGATTTCGCCCTCCCGCGTTTCACGATGTGGAGCCTTTCGTCACCTTTGTTTGTCAGCCCTAAGCGAACGCGAGATTCGACGAAATAGAAGAAGAAGGAGAAAAACAGAGAGAGAGAGAGAGAGAGAGAGAGAGAGAGAGAGAGAGAGAGAGAGAGATGGAAATAGCGTAAAGTGTGTCTCTTTCAGTACCTCCTCCCACCTTTATCTCCGTTCATGTCCATTATCCACTCGGATTACACATCGGAGGACTTCTCTTTCGTACGCACATAAACGGCTTTAATATCGAGAGATTGTTTTTTATTCCACCCGTCGATGCTCAGACAGTTCGACGAATATGATACGTTTACCCGGTTTACCTATCTTACCTATCTTCATTATTAATTCTCAGAAATATGTTTTTTTATTGTGTGTTTGTATACTGTTCGTATATTTTTGTGGACTTGTTTTGATATCGAATCGTATATTATTACAAAGGGATATTATATCGTTTATAAATTGAATTATGAATGCTTTTTATAAATAAACTTGCATATTATTAAAATATTTTCTATCATCTGTGTGTTGATTATAATGTAAACTGTAAAAAATTGAGCACTTGTTCTCTGTGTCAAAGATTCAATTTTAAATTCATCCAAAATATATCATATTTATATAATAATTTCATTAAATGTATATTAAATGTATGTAACAAAAATGTTTATTAAATATATTTAATAATTTATTAAATAATATTAAATACAATATTTTTATTTATTAAATGAGAGATGCACATCATCACTATACTTAACTTTTAATAACAAATCAACTGTAAATATGTATATTACAAAGATTGTGAATATGAACTACTTATAGATCCTGATATATAATATTTCTAGATTTGTTACTAATTAATATTAATATTAATATCAATATTAATATTAATTAATATTTGTTACTAATTAATAAAAAAGTTTAATTCTCATTTCTTCGAAATAAAGGAAGGAAGATTTCTTTTCCTAAAATATCTCGTTAAAAAGCTATTTGGTAATGTAATAGAAATATTGAAAAATAATTCTGAATTTTTCTACATTTTTTGAAAACCTAAAATAGTAAAATAAATTGAACTGGACAGAGGGAATAAATATATAAATGCAGAGGACGATTAAAAATTAATATAAAAATTAAGTCTATAAGTGAATAAATTATTAAACATGGTAGATACTACCATTATACATAATTTTTATAATGATTATAACGTAAAAATTGTCTGTTCTCCATGATTCAAGTTCAAACATCCATCCAAAACGTATAGTAATATTAGATTTTATTTGATCTTCTCTTAAAAAGCAATTACCGAAAGTATCTTTTCTATGAGAAATCTCTTCTAATAGGTCGCTCAGAAATCAGAACCGACTTTGAAATTGTAAGTCTCATATAGATATATCTGCGGATATATGCAGAAGAAGTCATCATATCTGTGACAAGAAATTACAAATTTAGAAGATTTTTTCTTAAAAATTGTATCAACGATAATGTAATAATTTTTGATAAAATGAAAACGATCTAATTTTGTAATAACATCTTCTTATTCCCGAAAAAAGAGTAAATAAATCTCTTGTAAAAGTATGTTTTTCTAAAACTTTTTTTAAAATCATTATCATTCATATTTTAACGAATGTTTAATATTATCTTGAAAAAATATTCAAAAGCTAAAATTTTAAATATTAAAGTTTGCAAGGAATTTTATTTAATTTTTATTGTTTGTTTATGAAATCAACTAGAAATAAATCTCTTGTAAAAGGTATGTTTTTCTAAAACTTTTGTTAAAATCATTATCATTCATATTTTAACGAATGTTTAATATTATCTTGAAAAAATATTCAAAAGCTAAAATTTTAAATATTAAAGTTTGCAAAGAATTTTATTTAATTTTTATTGTTTGTTTATGAAATCAATTAGGAATAAATCTCTTGTAAAAGGTATATTTTTCTAAAACTTTTGTTAAAATCATTATCATTCATATTTTAACGAATGTTTAATATTATCTTGAAAAAATATTCAAAAGCTAAAATTTTAAATATTAAAGTTTGCAAGGAATTTTATTTAATTTTTATTTTGTAGTTTGTTCATGAAATCAACTAGGAATATCGTGTATCTTCGTAAACATATTTTTCTAGAGCTTAACTTTTTTAGATAAAAGAGTATTTTAATGTAGTAAGTTTTTGAACAATATTTCTGCACATTGAAAATTTTCACAAAATAGAAAACGAAAAGAAATTCTATTATGAAATAAAACTAACACGATTAATCAGTTTATGGATTAGAAAATGCTAATATTAAAACTGATGTATTATAGATGTTTGAAATAATTATTAAATAAAAAAATCAATAAATATATTACAATCTCTTTCTTGCGTTTTGAGTGTAGAATGTAAAATTAACTTCTGAATCATATTTTCGTATTCAATAAAATAGAATTATTGCCAATTTATCCTTCTCCGTTGTCCGTATCATCTCGATATGGAACAATGCGATAAATTAGAAATGTATGCAACCGCTTATACTTATTCTTTATATAGTCTCGACTTCGATCGCGCAAATAAGGAACAGGGTCTTGAACAGCAGCCTACCCCGCGAGTTTATCGAATCACTGTATTTACCTTCTTATGCAAGATTCTCTCTGAAAGGAAAGATAAACTTAGCCAATGCGAAGAAATAGCACGACGAAAAGAGTGCTCCATGCATTCATTTAATTCCAGCGGAACTTCCTCTGCGACAACGTATCTTCAACGCAACTCTCCAACTCTTCACGAAATTTTGATTGAAACATTTTTATCGTTATATTTCTCTATAGCGTACTTTTAGCGATACATTTATTGCAAGCGATAAATTTTTCGTACACCTGCATCCTTCGTTGCACTTATAACTTCTTATGCATTTGAAAACTGTCAAAGAATAATATTAAACTCACATTCCGTCGCACGAGAGTAACGTCATCTTGAAAACGATATTTGTTTTGACAATCTTCGAGTGTACTGGAGGATCGCGAACGAATAGTTGTAACGATCCATCTATAAGCTCAGTTTCATATTATT